AAGCAAGCCACCAGGTCCCGGACTTGAACCTTGGTTGACCATGTGGGAGTCCAGCGCCTTAACTGCCATGCCACCTGCCAAGCCTGGTGCTTACCATCTTATAGTCTTCCCAGAAGGGGATTCACCCTGCCCTCTGGACCCAGCAGTGAGCTCTGTCTTCCCTCAAACAGCCCCATGTTCTGAGGACAGCATAGTCCCTGGCACAACTCCCAGGGTCACCCCGTGTGACTCAGGACCAGTAGCCAGAGGGGGTGTCACCAAGGGTTTAGACTGGGCTAGGGCCTGACTGGTAGAACTCTCTGTCCCCAAGATCCTCCAGCCAGAAGAGGACACCACCTCACCTTGGGTGCCACCCCAAACTGCTGCTCAGCGTACGGTGCACAAGGCTACTGTCATCGACGTGAGCGTTCTTGCTCCCCTGCCCCTACAGCATGCAGGGTACAGTACCAAAAGCATCTCTGGGGGTCCCTTAGGCTGCCTAACAACCCCCTGAGTATATGCGATTGTCAGTGCCATTTTGCAGATAAGAAAACAAAACGGAGCCCCAGACAGGCTAGCAGCTTGCCCAAAGTCAAGAAAGAGGCCAGGATTTGCATGCAGGCAGTATGGCTCCAGCATCCTGGGACCTAGAAGTTAGGAAACCAAGACCCTGGCTCCGCAGCACCCAGCTTCAGCCACAGCCGCAGTGTGGCGCCTGGAATAATCCTCCACTTTCAGACCTCAGTTTCCTCTTCTGGAGAATGGGGATTATACCAGCCCCACCCATTGCAGGTTTATTTTTTTTTTTACAAAGAATGAAGTTGATCTGGGACAGAGGGGACAGGAAGCTGGGAACTTTTTGGTCTCATGAGCCTCCCCACCTCAGTGTGCTGACATCCAGGCCCAGCCCCTCTGGGGATTCCCACCCCTGGGCTGAGGCCCCCCAACGCGGTGAAACAGGTGGGGAGTCCTCTGGGTACTGCCCCCAAGGCCTCCCCTGGCCCTCCCTAAGGGCAAGGACTTCAAAGACAACCCAGGCCCCTTGCTCTCCAGCCCCAAGCCCGGTTGCCACCCCGCACCCCAGCCCCAGGGCCCTCTCCCTGTTCCTACTTCCTTATTTGGGTTTATCACACTGGAAGGAAAAGGAGAAACTTTTCCCTCAGGCTGGCCAGAGGGGAGGGGGGTCTCCTCCGCCCCTAGGGCGCACAGGCACCCCTGGTCAGCACACCTGCCGCCCCAGGCCACGCCCCAGCCCCTCCCCCAGCTACCACGCCTACCCGCCCCACCCAGCCGGAAAGGAGCCCAGACTCTTCCAGGCCTGTGGCCTGACTGGGAAGGAACCGCGAGGAAGCTCGGGCAGGCCGGGTGGAGGCCCCGGGGAAGGAGGGGCCCAGGGGGCAGGGGAGGGGCGGTGTGAAAAGGTGGGTGGAGCGCAAGATGGGGATGGGGAGCCGCAGGTGGGCAGGTGGGGGGCCCTGCCTTCTGGAGAGCAGAGGGAGCAGGGCCGGTAGAAAGGGGGGACAGATTTACTGGGGTTCAAAGTCCCGAGGCTAAGGAGTGGGGATCAAAGTTCCCAAGGATGGTAGAACTTGGGGGGGCAAAGTTTCCACTAGGGGTCGAGTTAGAGCTCGTACCTGAGCAGGGAGCCAGGCTGGGATCCAGAGGGGTGCCAGCCAGGGTAGAGTGAGAAAGTGATGAATGAAGAGGGCTGTTCAGGAGAGGGAACGGGTAGGGCAGGGACCCAGCGGCACCCACCCGGAATGCGGATGCCCTGAGCCAGATCGGGGATCGGGGTTCCCACCCACGGGGTCCCGTGAGGACTGGGGACCAGGACAGAACTGAGAATCAGAATTAGTCTGGCAAGGAGGAGTGTGAAGGGAGAGTAAAAAAGGGCAGTCAGGATTTATTGGGGTTCGAAGTCTACCGCCAAGGAGTTGGAAAGCCAAACTGTCCAGAGCTGAGGGACTGGGTGGTGGGGACAAAGTCTTCATTATGGGGACAACTGGGAACTCAAGTTTCCGGAGCGCAGCCAGGCTGGGACGGAGGGGTGGGGGGGTGCGCGGTGTTCAGGCGAGGGTCTCCTGGGTCTGGCCGAGCTGGAGTGAAGGCGTCCCCGGATCTGGGCGGAGCAGGGGGCCTCCGCGCTTACCTCGTCCCATTTGATGAACTTACTCCCGCGCCGCAGGGTCTCCACTACAGTG